GAATTCCTAGATAGACATGTTTAAGGAGGTAATCAGGCAGAAGGAGATCCAAAGTACTTCTGGCTAGTGGGTCCGAGAAGACACGCTCAATTTTCCTAAATCTCCACATGGCACACGCACTTACTCAGACTCATCCATGACGGATAGAGTATAAAAACGATGCCCGCGAGATTGTTTTCCTGTACTGGACTGAGAGGTAATTGAGTCATGCAAGTACTCAATGTGAATTCTCATTCAGTAGAGGAAATAAAACTCTGAGGGTCCTTTACGTGGGATGATTATACTCGGTAGGGTACTGCTAGTAGCATACTTCTTTGGAACCATCTATGGAGTTATCGAGTCCATATTCAATTTCATTCGACAATCAAAGCTCATTCGAACCCTGGAATAGGGAGGAGGTACTATAATGCCTTTACGTTGAAAATTCAACGTTGACACAACGTCGCACGGCATCAACTTTTCAACGTTGAGCTGTGTTTCATTTCAACATTGTGGCAACATCGTGGCAACATGTTACGTTGAAAAGTCAACCTTTTCTCAACATTGAGGCAACATTGTCATCAACCTTTTTTCAACGTTGACACAACATTGTTGTGCCGAATGGGGCGTGCAACCAGGGTCTCTGGGATCAGGCCCTCGCCCTGCAGTGGATCGGCGTACGTCAGGATGCTACTTCGCGACGATTTTCGAAAATCTCCCCGTTCTCGCATTCTTTTCTCTTCTCCAGGCGAACGCGGGTTTCTTCCGAGGCCACGCGAGTCGGATCACGTCGATGGGACACGAAGCGGGAGCGGCGAGCGTCTCCGATCTCTTCCTCTCGACGACGACGAGGAGCCTGGTCGCGAGGGGGATCCTCCAGTGGCGGTTCGTGATATTTAGCGCTAGTGGTTCGTCTATGTAGGCAGCGCCCTCCCCTGCCTACTCTCTCTCCATAGACGAGCCACTAGCGCTAAATATCACGAGCCGCCACTGGGATCCTCTTGAGCGGGGCCTGCACGGCGTCTTGGGTCTTCAAGAGCATCGACGAACAAAAACGATTCTCCGGTGTCCTTGATGTGTGAGTCCACGTGCTTCTCGCGGGGATCCGGAGGGTTCCGTACGACGAGAGATTTTCCTCGGACGAGAAAAGGAAATTGAGGCTTCGAATCGTAGAGTAACCCGGATCTCACTTTTTATCTGGCATTCCTATAGGTACTATGGGGAAATGCCAGATATTGCGGTTAGTTCGTCTTTTTTTTTTTTCCTTTTTCATTCCGTCTGTCCGCAGTAACCATAGCGACCGGAAAGCACGACCCAATGCTCACGCGCAGCTTTTCGTCTGTGTCGGGGTGCCCGTCTTCCACGAAAAATCCACTTCCCCTCTAGCCCTGGCGGCTGACGGATCCATAGTGGACAATGGAGGAGAGCGGCTGCTCCCAGCCGCGTAGACAGGGTTGCTAGGCGCACGCGTGAAATGCCATACCTGGCATCCTGCACTTCATACCATCTTCCCTTCTCCACGCGACGCGAACGCGCGGACCTTCGAGAATATGTCTAGTTCTTCCTTTGTCTCGTTTCGAGGCGTAGGAGTTGTTTGCATCTGCCATCGTCTAAAGACATGCTACGGCACACGTGCAAGGGCGAGGGGGTGGGGCAATTCTTCACTGACGTAATTTCGAAAACAAAATTTTCGGATTCCCAGTATTTTGTATTTTCATTTCGTACTCCTCGCATACGTTTTCTCCCTTTACCACAAACTCTCGACCGACTGCAGGAGTTCGTCGAGTCGAACGTGTGAAACTCGCGAAGGACGCGCGTCGTGAACCTTGCCGATCGGTGATCGGTCGTCTAGAAGAATCGAGGCGATGCAGTGGTGGCGAGTCCGACGTCTACGCTTCACCACCTTTTTCTTGCACGGGAATTGCATTCCTCTTTTTTGCAGGGGAATCGCATTCCTCTTTCTTGCATGGAAATTTACTTCTTGCCGCCCTATTGCTTGCACGACGAACGACGAGAAAATAGCACCTATTAGGTTTCTTGAATATGCGTCGTAGAAACTTAGAAATTGGGATTCCAATTTCTAAAATATACGTATTCGCATATTTGAAGACCTTACACTACCGAGCGTATTATTGTTCCTCATTTTACATGGGTCAGTATGCTTTGTCTGATGATAAAAAAAAGAAGTAACGTCGTCTCTGGATTCTGGGAGACATTTCATCTTTTATTTGCTTGCGCTTTGTCGATTCACCGACGACTGGTTAAATGCACCACATTGGTTATCGCTCGAAATGGATCCCTACGGAACGATAAGAAGAAGATCCCGTTATGAAAAAAAAAGAAACGGAGGAATTCTCCCGAAGGACCTCGAAGGCCATTCCTTATGTTGGCATTCGGGCTGATGTCATTTTCAAGCCGTCGAAAGGACTCGCACCAGAGACGTTTCGTATCTAGTATCGGAATCGAGGGATTCCCGTTTCTTTCTTATGGATTCGAATTGGCCGAGAAAACGCATTCATGAGTGGAAGCGCCTTTTCTTAAAGAAAATTCCTACTTAATTTATATTAATTTGTTTTATTATAAATTTGATTCAAATTGAAATTACTTAAAACAATTCGAAAATAAATTAATCCTGAAACTTCGCAAGTTATGTTTGCATTGACGTCATTTCTTCTGTCGTATGTTCCTCGAAATTTCTGTACTATTTTTCATTTTGCAAATTGCAAAATCTCTAATATTAAAAATTAACTGCGAAAATAAATTCTTAAAATAATGCTTCAAATCTTCAAAAGCCTCTGATTCCCCTGGGTGCGCTCGGAGACAAAGAAAGCACGTCGTAAACAGATCATCAGATGTCTCAAGCCTTTGGGCACAAAAGGGTTAAGCAGTCCCATAGGCAGTTCATCGAGAAGCCGAAATTCCATCCGTCCACGAACGGCCTCGACTCGTTGGAATTTCACCCAAAACTTTGCACATTGAACGAAGGGATTCATCCCCGTTTCTGTTCGTAGTACACGGACTGGAGTCAGCCGGACGACACGTTGCAGTACTCAGGGAATCCGGGATCGGCGATCGGCGATCGGCGAACGGCGATCGGCGATCGACACTTCGTCTGCCCCGTTAAGGAGTTCTATGGGGAAGCGGCCTCCACAGGCATCCCGGTCTATCACTACCCCTTCACATACGTGAGAATATTCCCCTCGTCGATCGCTCTTCGTTTTCGAGTCCACGAAAAGCGACCCGCCGAAACCGCGACTGCAACGATGAGGTGGGAAGAGCGCTTTTCGACCGTACGTACTTCATGTTCGAAAAAAGCAAAAGTTTGGATTTGAAACCCGATCGAACGTCCCAAAGGATCCCTTCGGTTCCCTAAAAATGGGTCACTGGCTACGCCACTAAAAGGAATTATTGCCCCCCCCCCCCCCCCCTTGCCCCCTCTCCCCTCCCCCATTGAGTGCTTGTAATGATTCCGTTCTACCGTCATCCGGGAACACAGCGATCGAGTTTGAACCCTTGGGGAACCTGGATGGGAACGATTCACTCGGAGGAACTCCCTTTCATCGAGGGATTTCCGTTCCACAAGTCCCGTGGATACACGAGACCGGAGACGAATTTCACCACCATCATTTACACTCGCCTCGACGCCTTCCTCTCCGACGGATAAAAATCCCTTCGACTTCTCTTCTGCGTTCCCGGTCGCATTTTTTTCTGGACTCGTTTTCTGGACTCTTGCAGAAACCCGTGGAACGGGTGGGGGACGTACTCGGAATACCGACCGGAATACTTGATCTCGGATGCGAACGCGGTTGAATCGAAGGGAAGGGGTCCCATGGGCCTCGCTTAGCGCTTTCAGGAATAACTTCTTCCCGACCCTTCCGTAGGACCCGACGTCCCGTGGACTCTTTAATTCCTTCGAAAGGGAATCGTGCGGAAAAAAATAAATAAGCATATAAACGAGAATCTTTGCGAAATGGGAATGGAGTTTTTTTTTTTCTTTCTTGGATTTCACGTGAAGAAGACACGGAGATCCCAGTTGCTGGTTCGAGCGCGATCTTCCAGCATTCGTCGTTCCTCCGGCTCGACTCGCGTCCAGAGAGAGAGATTCCCGATCTCCCTTATGTCCCTGCAATGCTCGACGACGCTCCAGAGGACCTCGGCCGTGAATCTCACCTCCGAGAGGAATCGGAGGATCCTCAACCCGCTCAGTTTCCCCGCGGAGAAGAGAGGGAGGAGATGGGAATCTCCGAGATGCTCCTTCGATGCCTCGCTGTAAGGCCACACCAACGTCGTCACGGTCGCTTCCTGCAGATTTTCGGCCGCGTGCAGAACGGAACACAGACAAGCGAGGTCCTCGGTCGTGATCCGCAAGATCTTGAGACTCGGCCAAGGAGTATCTTCTTCCACGCACCCTGCAAGTTTTCCCTCGAGAGTCTCCAGATTGGGGCAGCACGGGACGAGGACCCCGACGTCCAAGCCTTCGATTTGATCCCGGAACGTCATTTCCTTCAGAGTACTTCCTCGACGGGAGAGAAATCCGTGAAGGAAATGATCGTGAATGGAGAAGTCGAAATCCACGCCGAGAGTTTCGAGACCCGGCAAGTCTTCCAGGGCGGGGAGACAGGAGACTTGAGTGAAAACCTGTCTGAGATGCGGGCACGTGGCCTTGATGGCCTCGACCTTCTCGACGTCCAGCCGAGTGTCCCAAAGGTCCTCGAGAAGGAAACGGATTTCGGGATTCCGTTTCCACAGGACGGGGATCGCGGATCCCACGTTATCGTAGTATATGAATCCTCCGAGGGACTTGAGATTCGGAGCAAACCGTAGAAGCAGGACGACCCCGTGAAGATCCACGTCCGTGTCGCTGATGTTGACGACGGTCAGTCGAGAGACGCAGGGATTCGGCTTCGCAGGCGAAGAATCGTCTCGGAGGCAGAGGAGTTGGATGCCCCGAGTCGTCACCTTCCACGACCCGGCCACGTTCACGTGGCTCAGGCATTCCGCGTTCCGACCCAGGCAGGCGAGGATGCGATCGTCGCAGATTCCTTTCACGGACACGCGACGCAGGTGTTTCATCCGAGACACGGCTCGGCACAGAGAGGCGTTGATGTCGGAGATGATGCCGTATTCCCGGCGTCGATCCACCCGGATCGAGAATTCCAGGACCCTGAGGTCGTAGCAGTGGTGTCTCTGCAGTTGCGCGTAGAGGCAGAGGGCGTCCTCGACCCAGAAATTCTTTTCGGGGAGGACCAAAGTCTTCGTCTCTTCGTCCACGAGAAAATCCCAAGCCCTCAACAGCTGATGGGACCCCTGGAGTCGCACGATCGTCTCGGCGATCTTCTCGCGGAATCCCGACGGAACCCACTGCCGCATGAAATGACAACAGAGCGTCCTGTCCTCCGGACGATTCCGACGCGTCCAATCCATCACCAAGCACGACAGACTCTCCAAGCAGATCTCTTCGAGGCCCTTCGGCGCGCACAGGTTGGGCATGATCGCGAGCGAAGTCGAATGCAGTATGAGGAAGGGATGAATCCGTGCCAAAGGAAGCAAGAAACTCGTGGGCTCCGTGCCAATTTCCAAGCTGCCAAATCGTGGGGGGAGGGGGGGGGGGGGGGGGGGGGGGAAAAAGAAAACCTTGCAAGGGGGGGGGGGGGGGGGGGGGGGGGGGGGGGGGAATGGCGCAGGGGACGTCTGGACGACGGTGGCAGAAAATAGAAGAGGTGGACAGAAAGTGAGTAGGATGCCAGGCCCGGGACGAATTCCTAACCGAGAGATTCCTCCGAAGGGACATCTTAGTTGCCTTGGAGGAGTTTTTCTACCGAGCGATCTCGCTTTCTATGAGGCCTCCAGGGTGTATGGCGTTTCCCTTTCAGAGGATCTCGCATTCGGGACCATTCCCCATAATTCCTTCCTTCTTGCACGTCGAGAGAACGATACGGGACTGGAAGGAGTCTTTCCTTCTCGCTTCTTCGGCTCGTTCCGACGAGGTGGACGTGCAGAGGACAGCCAAGCGAAATTCTTTCATTTGGAGACGGATTCGACCATCTCGATGCGGAAACGAGGCATTCCAACGATGTGCGAGCTCCAAGTACGACGAGATCGCAGATGGACCAGAAGGCGAAGGAAGAGGATTGGCATGATGGCTGGGAGTCGAAAACGAAGGTCGAGATGTCACCGGCTTTGCGTAATTACCGATTCCAGAAAATTTGTTCAATCGTAAACTTACATTAATTTGTTATGCAACACGTGAAAAGAACAAAAAATCATCAAACTCCATCAAACTGAATCTCGAGAAGTAAAAATAAAGACATTTCCTGGCTTATTACACAGCCCTGCTCCCCGCTCTGCACTTACAGTCCGAGCTGTAATGAGGTTAAACAAGACCGAGTCCCGCCACGATTCTCTCTTTAGTTACCCAAGCACTGTGTCTCACGCATGCAGTCTCCCGCAGTTTTACGATCGGACTGCACGTAAAGAAGTCGGCCTTCCGATACTCCTAATTCAAATAATAATAAAAAGCCTGAATGGGCTAAGAGAGAAATTTATTTCGGCAAGCATGGAAATTGACTGCACGGTACTGTGTGATATAATTGAAGGACAAGAAGGACATGCTCCTTGCAGAGGAAAAGAGCTTCTTTTTCGCTGCGAATACGGCATGGACACAGATAAAAGCCGGTTCGAAGTTCAGACGATGTCGGGGCAAGGCGTTTCGGTGTAGCAAGCCAGATTCATGATTAAGTCGACCTCTTCCACGGTTCCCCAGGTTTCTCCCTGGGCATTCATGCAAGTGCAGGTGGGGCCGGTGCATTGCCACGGGTAAAAATTCCCATTCGGACAACAGCGAGGCCTCAACCATCCCCCGACCGTGTTAGCCCAGTACTCCGCACGGGCGCAATCTGGAAGGATGGGATAGGCACTTGCGATAGAGAGAAATCTCTCACTCGTCCTCAGGAGAGCGAGTCAAATAAAATAAATAAATAAATCGTCAGTTACGAAAGATGAAAGAGGAAATCTCACAGCAATTCATCTGTTCGAAGCCGAGGCTGCCCTCGAGTGCCTCGTACGACCCGATCTGGTGCCCTTCCGGCGTCACGCATATTCCCCTGTCGACACAAAATGCGCGTTCTGTCGAAAGACGAAAAACCCATAAAAAGAAAAAGACGACGGTCATCGCGATGGAGAAAGTGCAGACCAGGAGCCTCTCCTCTGCACGGGATTGTATTTGCCATCGGGCCCGCAGGAAGGAAAGACATATCCGACGATCACATCCGCCTCGTCTTGCATTTCCTCCAGCAGGAGCATGGCTTCTTCCACTTCCCTGATGCACTCGTGCTTGGCGGACGGCGGGTGGACGCTCTTGTTGTCTGTTCCGAGAGACAGCGGGGAGCACCGGGGAATCATGAAAAAAAATAATCGTCTCGGAAACGTCCATCGCTCCACGATTTCCGTACGACGAGTCGTCTTCGTTCGACGAAAGCCCGACAGCGTACGAGTCGGTGGATACTTTCGCGATGAAAAAAAGACAAAACCCACCTCGATCGACCGCGAGGCTCATTCGACCGCGTGACTTCGTTCGGCCACGTGACTCGCCGAAACCCTACACGATCCCTTCCGCTCGCACGGTTCTTTGGATGTGTTCGAGCGGAAAGGCAAAGAGAGTTCTGTGGAACTGGATTTTCTTTTCGAGCCAAAAGACTGCGACTTGAGGTCTTATCTAATCCGAGATCTTTTGATATCTCGATATCTAAATACGAGATATCGGGACTAACTCGTACTTAGCCACGATCCAAGGGACTTTTTTTTTTAAACCATACAAAGATAACGTCTGAAGAAAAATGATTTAATCGATAAAAAGACTTCATACGAAAAAGTTGAGAAGAGAGAATCGAAAGTTCCAGCCAAAGTAAGGCAAGCTTACGAAGTGGATCCACTGCTTCTTGCAGTAGAAAAGATGAGAAACGGATGGAAGATTCTCGAATCATCTTGACTTTTCTTGAGTTTCAAGCTATTCCCACGGAAATATTTTTAAATTTCTTCATAATTGAAAGAACGCTTCATATGATGATCATTTCAGAAGAAGTCACTCGGTGACCGTAGGGCATTCGAACGTGGAACCCATGCATCGCAGCTAAACGATACTTCAGGAATGGAATGGAATTACATCGGGGGAAAACGTTACACGAAGAAACCCAAATACTCGTAGAGGGCGCTGTCGACGTCACGTAATTTGTATACACAGAAGGTACAGGAACGGATTAACACGAACTCGTCTTGGCTAAGCTCGTTCCGCGTCGCCTCTGGGTTCCATCCATTTCAGCAATCAAGGAAATATATTAAAGGAAATTTCCGAAGCTCATCATCTTCCCGTTCAGACGCCATCTTTAAAACACGTGCCAGTTCAGCCGAATGCAAAATTCTTCTCACTTTCGATAAGGCGTCGACGCTCGACAAGAATGAGAAACGCTTCACTTTTTGCTTTCGGAATCGAGAGGCAAAAAGCATGGAAACATACAGCAAGGCAGTTGGTCGATGAAGTCGGGCGACGCAAAGATCGTGTCGGAGGGAGTCAGGTCTTCTCTGATGCAATAACAAACGTCGTCGTAGCACTGCAAGGTGTCGTAGTTGCCGTTGGCGAGGCATCGGGGCAGATTCTTCGCTCCGGGATACGTTTTCTTGATGTAGTCCACGGCTCGGCTGCACTCTGCACCGTCGAGTTCGAGCAATTTTATTTAGCACATACATTTATATATTTTCAAATGGATGTTTTTAGCCGGGAAGAGGACGAACCGCAGTTCATTTTATTCATCTGTTCCGCCTCGGCCGCCTCGCCGGGGATCCGGATTCCGTCCTTGTCCACGCAATAGCACCTGCTCCCGCGAACGTCGCAGAGGATGAAACGGGCGAAGTCGCAAATGCGAGGAAAAAAAGAGACGGACGTACAAGGATCCCAAGAGACATTGCTTCGCCGCGTAGGAGCCGTAGTCGTCGCATTCGGGTCGGAACGTCGTGTTCTGTGACCCTTCTTCGTACACCACCTGCCGCTGGACGCAAGGGGTGTTCACTGCGAAATGACAGGAAAACCGAATGAATCGGAAGCGGGGCGACGAGGGAGACGACCTGAAGAGGGAAGGAGCGGAAACGAACTTTTCCCGCAAGTAGGATCATCATTCGAGCTCGAGTAGCCGCGGCATTCCAGGCGGGGTCCGCACATTTCTTTCGGAAAATTACTGGGCTCGGTTTCGCACCTCTCGCCTTCCTCTGCGTGGAAGAGAAGTAAAAAAAAAACAATCGGAGTCATATCCCCGCGACGACGACGCGTATTCCATTTTAACGTTTCCACGGAGACGAAATCCCGGAGGATCCGAATCGACGTCGCGTGAATCTCTCCTTTCCCTACGGCCAGACGGACGACGAACGAACGGTCCGAAACCGTAACGTTTTCGACCGTTCGTCGATGATTTCGGTTTCAGACCGTTCGCGATCGTTACAGACGAGCGAGATGGCCGATCCGAGCGGAAAGCGAAAGGCCGTGATCGTCGGAGGAGTCTTCGTCGCTCTCCTCGGCGGATACGCGATCCTGTGAACGCCCTTTCCTTTTCTATCTGACAGACCAATAATTCCGTTATCGATCGGAGACCCTTTCCTTCGACAGAGCATGGCGAAAGTGGAGAAGAGAGGTCGCGCTTCGCAGAGGGTTGGAGACATTGGTGAGTCGGAAGTCGTCGGCGAGGCATCCCTTCCCCCCCCCCCCTTTTCATCGTCTCTTCGTTGGTGACGCAGAAAGCGCTGAAGAAGTTGCCACCGATCCGAATCCCTGCTCGGGCGGATGATATGGCATCGAGGACCCCGGAATCACTCTCGGATTCCGACTTCCGATCTGTGGAATCACTTCGAAACGAGGAATCGGTGATAGAAGTGTACAAAAGTGAGAAGGCGTCGAGTCCCGAAGTGACGTGATCCGTGGAGATCCTCGAAGAGATTCTTCCTTCCTTCCAGGGGATTTTCCCATCATTTGCGAGAATTCTCCTCGTCCCATCCGATCGTATGAGGATTCCTGGAATCTTCCTCATCGTCTGAAGCAACTCAAACCGGAAGCGAAAGAGAAGGACGAAAAGGAGCCAGCATTTCGAGTAGTGACGAACCGAAGAAACCTCTTCCACAGCCTCCACTTGATCCACGATCCATGCAAGAAGTCGGAAGGGGACGGAGGGACCTGGACCCCATTCGCGGATCCCAGCAGCGTCCGATCCACTCTCGGCTGCCGTCTTCACCCATCGCTTGTACCTTCTTCGTCTTCATTTTTTCGACGTTTCACGACGAGCCGAGACGAGAGAGACGAGGGCAGCCGGCACGAGACCCACGACCCCAGAGAAGAATCCCCTGCCGACGTTCTCGTTGCTCTGGGAATATTCGACGGGTCGAAGATCGGAGACGGCGACGGAACGTGCCGACTCGAAAGCGATAATCGAGTCCCACTAACGACTCCCGATGAATCAGGCACCCTCGGGCCGGATGGGAACGACGCAGATGGTGCCGAAAATAAACGGAATCGGCATCGGTACCTGCCAGAACCTGCACGTGGCACTCAGGAAATACAGCCCCAGATCCTTCTCGACCTTTTGGATCCGTTCCCCGAACAGAAAAGGAGTTCCGGATTAGTGTTGAAGCCGGAACCGGCAACCAGACGTTCCGTGCACACTTGGAATTCATGTGTCACGGACGAAGCCGAGAAATCAGAACCAGAGGAAGATCCATCTTTGGGTCGGGACCTTCCTAAACCTATGAACACTCTGAGACCAGAACTGGAATCGATTCCACGTGTTCGAGTTGAGACTTCGCTCGGGCAAGATGAAGGGAAGATGTGCTGCTCTGATGATCGTCGTCGCTGTTTCTCTCATCTTCGTCGCCCAGGAGGTAAGAAGAAAACAGGCATTCCATCCTCGGAAAACACTTATTCGATGGTTTTCCAGCTACCGATATCGACCACTAGCTTCATGGTAAACAACGTATCGATAAAAGCCCGCACACAAACTCGTTAGCTTTCGCTAGACGTTGATAGTGTGCATGCATCCACTCAATCCACAAAACGGTTCGCACGCGTTTGATACAATCGAGAAGGGTGAACACGAATAGCCAAGTTCAAAAGTCATGCTTGTAGTTTCTAAATGGCAGGATTACTAATTACACAGAAGGGTCTGATTATGCAATACAGTCAGCTACTAGTATCATTCTACTGACACTGATTCCCATTAGATTGCAATTCTCATTTCTTTCTGGTTGTAATTACTTAGGGGGACAACGCCTAGTGAAGCCTAATGGATGCAGTCGAATCAGCTATAACGTGATAGATTACAGACATAATGAAACGGCTATGGTCATAGGGGGGGGGGGGGGGGGGGGGGGGGGG